ATGGAGTGAGGCACTCATGATTCACCCGGGTCGAAACGCTAGCTCTGTGTTACATTGTAATGAAAGATGTTTTACAAACAGCAGCGTATAAGCAACAACTAGAAGATACGGAGTGACTAGTGGGTTAGGAACTTGAATTAAGTTACCATGGTGACGAAGCCCTATTACTTACTATCTACTGCATGTAGATATTCTGGACCTTGACCCGACTTTTTCAATCCCTACATAACCCCATATGACCCAGGTTCCAGTTCATTCTCCATTTAACTCTCCACTACGAGAGCATGTAAATGCTCAGACAAACATCAAGGATATGGGAGCTTCTCGAAAGAATCACCAAATACCCCTGTAAAGGACCCCTTCATCCCCTTACCACAACACGTTTCCAGGGGTAAGCAACAGCGCTGCAAGCCTTTGCGTACTTTGGACCAGTCTTTCTCGTCCAGGTCCTCAGGAAAAAAAGGTTTAAGTAGTAGTAGTAGTAGTAGTTGTTGTTGTTGTTGTAGTAGTAGCAGCAGGAGGAGTAGTAGTAGTAGTAGCAGCAGTAGTAGTAGTAGTAGTAATAATAGTAGCAGCAGCAGTAGCAGTAGCGTTAGCAGTCAGCAGTAGCAGCAACAGCACCAGGAGCAGAAGCAGGAGGATGAGTCGCGGTCGCCATTGTCAGCAATGAGGGTTTCCAGCAGCTATACTGTGAACTGAACATGATGCCCATCAAGCATTTCCATTCAAGCCGGGCAGCCCGCAAGAGCACTGCAAACACCATCGAGGAAAGTCTACGATCTACCCCACATCATTCTCTCGTCACACAGTGCAGAGGTCATAGCCACCGAAACATTGGACGCCTGCTGCGTCTTCAATACACCTCCCAAAATGAGCACTACATTATGCTCGAACGCAGCCTTACGGTGCGTTTGTATAGACCCTCTGCCCTAGAATCTGCTGTTGGCCCTAAATCCTGAAGAATCCCATGCACAGTAAACCCTGGACTCCACATCATTCCTTATAGAACAACTAACTGGACTCCTGGACCCTGAAGGTATGTAGAATAACGGCTCTTTCTGCGGGTTTTGGGGCATCACTTCACTGTTGAAGCCCAGGAGTCGGTACTTCTGTGCCGCTGGGGACCAGGCCGCTAGCGAAGAGCGACGCGCGTGAGTGTCATCCTTGCAGGAGGCTTGGACTTTTCTGGGTTGCTGTTCAAGAATTCGCACTACCATCATGGGTCCCCTTCAAAGAGTCTCAGGGAGCTTTATTTGGGGGTTCTATAAGATTTAGGGGTTAGTTTCGACACTGGCACTGGGTGAGTTGGAGCTTATGTCGGGTTTTAAAATTTTAAGCTGTTCAGGAGCCATCTAGTATCAAGAAAAGTTGTCATAAACAGCAAGGGAAGTCATCATTTACAATGTATCCGAACTTTGATAACTTCTCTTGAAGTTCCTTGTTCCTGCCTTGGATTTTCTAGGACTTTTCGGCTATATGATTTTGGGTTTCTTGGGGGTTCGACTGTGAGGGAGTTTGTCAAAACAGTCTCTACGTAAACCTCAAAGAGAGTCCCCCTTTGATCTCAAGATAACCCCGTACCCGAGAAGCAAACCTGAACCCTAGACCCTAGGAGGACCCCCACCCGGCACCCTCTAAGGTATCAAAGGAATATAAGAGGACCCTCATATAATCCCTTTTATCCCTTATATAGTCACTATTCAAGCGGGGGTCGCACCTAACCTATACCCTAAACCCTTAACCCCACATCATATACTATAATACAGCATAACCCTAAACCCTGAACCCTCTAAACCCTAAACCCTGAACTCTAAACCCTAATGATATACAATAAATTACGATAATATTCAACCGGGGCCCTGGGATCGGATCTTTCCCGCTTCGGCCGGAAGGTGTGTAGATCAAGGAGTCTGGATGTAGGAATGGTTTTAAGATTCTGGGCGTAGAGTTGAAAGTCTGTGTTTGGAGCTTAAAAGACTTTAGACGTTGAGCATTTGGGGCACATCCGGACTGAAGCATCTGAAGTGTCAAGGGGCTGTGACGTGACCCTCTCCCTGCTTGCAAGAGGCCAAAGCAGCAGAATTGCGGGTAGTTGATGTGTCTGAACGAATCACATTAGGATTCTGAAGTCTTTATTCAGCGTAAAACCCCCGCGCAGTCCTCACTTTTCCCCTAAGCCCTGTATCCACAACCCTCAAGCCCTGAAGCGCACCCACCCGCCCGCGAGGGCCTCGTAGTCGCTGAAGTCATCAATCGGCAGCTCCTCCGGTGCCTGCCACGACCCCAAACAACTGGGTTGCTGCTAAGGACCTTGAGTTAAGTTACCATAATATGAGAGTAAAGCCTTAACAGCAACCCAGACAATTTCTCCAGTCAGGGTTAGGGCTTTCCAGACCTCTTTCACAGCATTTCCGCGTGAGCATGTCTCAAAGGCAAGGTTTAGGATAAGCTGATAAGCTGCAAAATATGGATCTTCAAAACACGGGTAAAACGTTCCCGTATATTGCTGTTAATGGATTCATGCTTCCGTAACCTTCAATGGTCTTGACAGCATTCTTTTGCAGGAAAGAACGAGGATCCTGTTTATGCGCAGCCTGCCAAACATGGGCCTTAGCTTCCCCAGATGGACCAGAACATTACAGTCACAAGGTCCCAGTCGTCACACCTAACCCGCAAAGCTACACACAAAAACGAAGGCATTGGCAGTCAAAAAGAATCTCCGCAAGTGCCCGTGTTTCAAGGAGTTCGACTGCAGAGAGCATGGCAAGATACGTCCCTGAAGGGTCCATGTAGCTATACAGTATATACTTACAGCCCAAAGTGGTTGCCATATATATACTTTTGGGCCCAAGTACATACTAGATAGCTACGTGGACCCTTTGGCATCCAGGTGCAAGAATCCTCACACAAGAGTGCAAGCGATACTTTTGGAGCACGACGTCAAACGGCGCTGAAATTGATGGGTATAAAGTGATCCTGAAGCCGTACTGAGGGAAGCACTGGGATAGCGAAGGACTTGCACAGACTACGCTGCTCTCACTGCGGCGTAAATGTATGAATCAAACTTGACACGCTTGTCTATGTATGTACATGCATGCACACATACATACATGCATACATATGTACATATATTATGAACGCTTGTCTTTACTAACGTCAAACCATATATATCATGTCTGACACAATCCCTTTTCATGCCTCTATCACCGCTCTTCTGTCCACTAGCTATCCCAAGGCTCGTCTCCGCACGGGGTAAAGGCTTGCTTCGCTCTGCACCAAACCCAGGCGATGGATTCACAACTCCCTGCACCCTAAAGAGACTGTTGACGTGGTTTTTGGACCATTACTTTGCATAGTTTGCCCGGTGCATGTATTGCTTTGTCTTGCAGGCCAAAGAGGTAAGAGTTATGCCATGTCCCCTTACAGTAACCAGTTACTAAGAGATTTAACGGCCCCTTCATCACACACCTGCATGGACAGTTACTGTGAGAGGTAACGATCCAAGGTGAGAGGCATTTCTTGAGTTCCTGCAAGGAAAACATGAAGATCCCTTCAACAAGTGTTGTTGGGCATTATCATGCCGTTAGAAAGACGACACATACAGACTGCAACAAACATTTGACTGAATGCCAATGTGGCCGTTCCCTCCTGCTCGCAGCCGTGAATACAACGCGCATGAGGCCTTAAACTTCTCGGCGAAGCTGCACAAAATTGAAAATGGAGTTTCCACGGATTTTGAGAAGCCCTCTGTGGTTAGGATGGCTGCTAATTAGACGTCTTCTCCAACTCACCTAGAAGGCATGGGGACAACCAAAACTAAACACATGGATGTCTACACGGCTGCCCATCACCAGCTAATCGGCTGGTATTGCATGTAATTTTGTAACGAGCCATGCTGTAGGAGAAACCAAAAACAGCTGATAGCCATCTCCCGTAGCAATTTGGATCCAATGTCGCATCCTCTACACAAGATGTTCCCTGGCAGAAACAGACAATCCGAAAATGCAACCTAGAAGCGACCTACTAACGGCCATGGCACAGCCCAAAATGAAGCCTGATATGGGGCATTCCCAAAATTAGGGGTACCTTTTTGGGGGTCCCCATAATAAGGTCTAGAATATTTTGGGGTCTATATCAGGGTCCCCTGAATTTGGGAAATTACCATATTGGCTTACCATAACTCATCTTGCATGTTAAAAAGGATTCTTGTAGAGATTCACAGTGTGGGGTGTCCAGGTTTTTGGGGCGAGGGACGCGGTTTCACCTGCGGAAACTCAGACATTCGCTGGAGCGGCTGGTCGCTTATCGCTGAGGCTTTGTTGAGCTCACACGCAAGTGGTAAATACGGAAAACAGCCAATGCACTAAACAAACCTAGTATGTGAGATGTTTATCTTTTGGTTTCAAGGTCTTAGTGCTTTAGGTCAATAGTAGGGATAAGCAAGGATGACCTCATGCCTGTTCCTAGGCGCCAGCTATGATGGCTGTGGCCTTGACGTAATACTTGGGTACCTTCAAAAACCGCAACAAACATTCCGGGACTATCTTCTATGGCCTCTCCTTGCGTTAGTCAAAACCGGAAGAAATAGATAATAACCACTAGCTCCCACGAAAAGGCTACTTAAGCCTTCTCCAAGGCATACAAACCTTTGGCGTTTAGCACGCTCTTTCCATGTGGGGGTTTCTCAAGACATGTGTTCCCGACATGACCATCAAATATATAGACGTCACAGAGGTATTATGGGGTCCCTTCTACGGATGCTATGTGATTAAAATTCAGAAGCTCCCAAATGGGCCCAGGACCTAAACTATGCGTGCTGCAATCCAGCCCTGACGGCTCTCTGCCAAACATGCTTTGAAACGGTAGTCCGACCCATTTCTCAATGACGCCCTGCTGTGATGGCCAGCCAACGAAGGCGATAGAAAAGCGATCCAGCTTCCAACATCTGTTGCTACGCAGCACAGCTGCCAACACACAACATGTCAGCAGATGTAGACAAGCTAAGCATGTGCCTTCAGCCATGAGATCACTTCTTGCACCTCAGGCAGCACCGGGCAGATGAGCAGCTGGGCACAAAGTCCTGTAAATAGTAGTAGTGACATAAAGCCCCTTGCAAGAAAGTCAAACGGGGGGTCACTTATGGGATCCTGTTTGCGGAATTCGTGAGCGGCCTTGAATTTGAGCTCCTTTTGGGTTTTAGCTTCCCCAGTAACCCCTCAATGATAAGGGTGCCCTTTTCCTCCTATGCAGCTTGAATCAGGAGACCCCCCAAATAAAAAGGGGAAAAGGTACTACTGGTGTATCTCTAGGGTTTTAAGAATTGCCACATCTTTTCGCCGAGGTCCTAAGGTTCCGGCTGCCACCTGGATAAGCTCGGGTTGATCCTGGCATTAGAACGATTTGCAGATGGAACTGTGGTAGAAGGAGGCTCGGGTTTGGGTTCTTTGGGTTTGGGGCTCAGGGTGTAGGGTTTAGGATGGTTTAGGGTTAAAAGTCTATATCTATCTCAAGCATTTTCAGAATGCTCCATCGATTCTTCTAAGATTTTACAAGCCTCACCCGAGGGATCCAAGTATACAAATAATGCCTTCACTGGGGTATAATATATTTTCCCTACATTGGGCTTTTTGGATTCTTCTGGATCCCTGGGGTCGATCTACATCGAAGGCCTTTGTAGGATCTTGGAGATGCGGTCAATACTGCACTACGCCAGCAGTTAGGGGAGTGGGGGGTTGGGTTGTGCAGCAAACGCAGAGATGCTTGGTAGTTTTTTTTAAAAAATAAGGGGGCGCAAGAGAGCACCTGAGCAGTGAACGAAGCAAGTGACATGATTTTGCAGTGATACAGGAACCGGCGATGGACAAAGACAACCAAGCCGCTACCATTGGCGTCACCGTGACAGGAGCGGGTGCTGGGTCATCCAGCAAGGCTTCGTTTCAGAGATTTTGCTGCGAGGTAACCTTCAACTCAATTGTCATACCACCGTGAAATGCGTTCTCTAGCCGTGTATGGTAACCGGCAACCCTCAACCGTGCACAGGTGGCGTAGGTGCTGCCCAGTATGCGTAACAGAAAGTGTAGGGCGCCCCCTTGTAAAGAAACTCCGTACGTCGTTGCCACGTAAACCTCCTCAGCTTACTGAAGTCCTTTGGGCAAAGCATGTAATGAGAGAGACAGAAAAAGAGAGAGAGAGAGAGAGAGAGAGAGAGAGCGAGAGAGAGAGAGAGATAGAGAGAGATGGAGGGCAGAGACAGAACATTACGTACCTAAGTATATTGGGGTTTTATTGGGATAATGGAAAAGAACATGGAAACGACTGTAGTATATTTGGGTTATATCGGGATAATGGAAAAGAACATGGAAACTACTATTGTATGTTAGTGTGCCGGAAAGATGTTGCTGAGTATTTGGCGTGCTTGGGCTTCTACGCATATGTCTTGAGCATGAACCCTCCGCCGAGCCTGGAAAAGTTGGTGCCGTGCCCCCTTCAGCACTTTCAGATACCTTGCTCGACGGCAGCCAGAACGAAATCATACGGCTTTCATGGAGACTGGGGAAACGATTTCACTTTGGGCTTGGGATTGTGCCTTTTGCCAGATGGAGATCTGGGTAGTGCGCTGGGCTTCTGTTTTTTTTTTTCAGGTTACAACTCGGAGTTTGTGGAGGTCTTGGCGGCAGTGGGCTTAACCGTCTCCTGATGCGGGCCGTTAATTACGCGCTGCTTTGCAGCGAAAGCCAAGGATATTTGGCGTGTATAGCAAGAAACCTGCAGCCTCAAACCCCAAACCGTACACCCCACAATGGCCCAGCTGCGTTCTCTCCTAATGCGCTGTACATGGTCTTTTTGAACTCCAGCGGAGTGCGGGGCCATACACCAAAAATCCACAACTGGGGACTAGGTTTAATACCAAGTGCGTATGAGGGAATACGGGAATGGGTTGTAGCTGCTATTCAAGGGCATTATGCAGCAACTGCAGAAGAGATCCACGCCCTCATACCCTACGAAGCCTCAGGTAATAAACTTGGGCTTAGGTTTAGGGATCGTAAAGGATGAGAAAACAGCGCCTTTCTCAGGTGTACAGTGCTTCGTCCCGTACGAGTGGTAAGGGCTGTTTTTGGAACCGGCAGCAGCTAGGATGAAGCATAGGTGTCTAGGGTGAAGGGCAGTTAAAGGAACCTTTGCGACTACTGATGGCTAGTAGGGAATGGAGGAGTGGATCCGTATAGTAGTCTTTGGACAACCCCATATGATGATGCTTGCATGCTGTGCCTTCATTTCCTACTAGCCACCCTAAACCCGAAAGAATTATGGGGTTTCCATTTTGTCCGGAGATAAACGCCAAGCCCGAAGTATGTATGAGGTTTCTATCTTCTATCCAGAGGTGGCTGCCCGAGACCAAAGGCAGCATTCCCTCTCAAAAATTGTCGGTTCGGACCAGCTGGCAGGCAGTTCGACGACGAACTACGGCTGAAGAAGGCAAACTGGCATGACCCTAGGTAAAACAAATGCTAAATAGCTGCAGCCTGTCCAGTAGGATTTAGGTTGCGCCTAAGCTTGCTTATGCAAGCACTGCACCCCAACAAGCCAATCAAGTCTCTTGGCCCCTGTGCCCAACATCCAAACCCCTTCGCGGGCTCAAAGAGGTCGGGGTTTTATGGTTTTGGGGCTTAGGCTTTAGGACTTCAGTTTAGGTTTTTGAGGTCAGGGTTTCATGGGACAGGGTTTCAAGGTGTAGGGTTCAGAGGTTCCGGGCTCTAATACATGGTAACAGGCTCCGCAACAGCTGCTCCATCTCCCTGGGGGCAATATGCTCGTCTGCCGCCCACACTGGTCTGAATGGGCCAGACACTTTACTTACATACAAACGAACTCGTTCCTCGTCACCTAGAACCGCAGCGTGCGGCTCCTGGGACCCTCAAACCTAAACCCTATATAATATCAGGAACTAAACACCGAAGCCCTCTGACTGGCACTAAACCCCATATCATCCATAAAGCCCGGTACACTCTACAAAACTACCAGAGTCCCCCAACTCTGAACCCCCAACCCTTTCTCTAAACCCTCAGCACTTGACGGCAAGCTTTATACTGAATGCCAACTAAAAACACTAAAAACTGTAATCCCTACCCCCTTGACCTCACAACCTCCACCCTCCACCCAGAGAGTTCAAAACTTATAGCACCGTAATCCCTGTACAGGCCCCATAACTGCAGCGAAAAACCCCTATATAGTCCCTATAATCCCTATAGTTCCCATGTTCTTTTCCATGATGCCTATATTGTCCCTTAAGAGTCTAAGTCCACGGCTTATCGTCCGAGCCCGCGGTCATGTAAAACTCGAAGGCCGCGCCCAGGTCGACCTCACAACACTTCCTTATGCTGAAGATCCCTCTAACCTGGCTTGCTGTGAAGGAACTTGTAAAAACTGCTACTATAAGGAAACCCTGTTATATATTTTTTAGCATATACCCATAAAATGATAACTGAAATTAAGTTCCCGAACAGCAACGCAGTAGTTGTCCTTGCGGAATCACTTCCCATGCCCTGCCGAAAACTCTGATTTCAACTTCCTTGAAACACAAGCAAGGCGATGCTAAACCGAGGCGATGCAGGGATGAGCTGAATGACCTGCAGTAGACAAGTCACTATCAGTGGGTAGGAAATCTAAACGCAGGGCCCTTCAACATGGATTAACCGGCGCTTTTCTTAGGGTATTCCAAACCCCTACTTTCGCTGAGAAACGCAAAGCGCAATAAAGCCACACTAGCTACATTGCAGGGTACACGTACGGATCAATCAGGACCGTTTATTATTGAAAGCCGGAGGATCAACGGTCCAAAGCAATTGCCCTAAGACCCTAAAAGATGATACTAGGGATTCCGGGTATATGATGCTAGAGTAATAGACTGAATAAGGATTATGACAGATCAATATTGACATCTATTCGGCCTTCTGCACGAGCCCTCAACCGTAAACCCTTCCCAAGAAAGCATGTTCGGCCCTCGGATGGTACGAGTCAGGAATACGCCACACCCAAAAAGCAATCTGTACCAGGTCTGGAATTAGGGTTTAGGGTTTAGGGTTTAACGTTTCTGGAAGAGCCCTGGAATCTCGACCCACCCAATTCTACATAGTTCCCCAGCCCTGGTGAATGCCCAATGGCTGCAAATCTAGGGATGCCAATAATCCCATTCCATCTTTTACAAACATAAAGTAAACGCAAATCGATTGCAAGCGGGTTTAAATGCCTACGTAGTACACACTTGGGAAAAACCGGCTGCTGTATTAGTACTCTTGGTGACTAAATAGGTACTACTGAAGATTGAATTCCGGACCCCAAACCTTACACCAAAAAAGCTACTGTGTAAAGTGTAAGCCTACATAATTTCTACTATTGTTCTCTTGTAAGGCCTTATGTTAAGCACCTACCCCTGAATCGGGTTCTGACTGAAGACCCTCAACCCTAGACGCATACCGTGGCCCAAAACCTTCAAACAATGAGCTCCGAACACGCACCTCCTTTTCTCCTGGCCACGCAAAAGGGGACTTCTCACAAAGCCCAAGCAGTCTGTAAAACATATACGGAAGCCAACAGTACCGACATAGGAACCTGCTTGGGCCCCAAGTGCTTGCTTTATCATAGCTACCTTGACTCCTCGGGTAGCGGAGTTTGCAGGGTTCTGACTGTGCAAATAGGGTTTCCCTGTGGGACCGCCATGGTTCTTGAAGGTCTTCAATGCTTGGGTGGCCACCTACCTGTGGGACAACTTGCATGGGTTTCGAATGGCGTGATGCGAGGCTTCATGTTTGAAGTCGAAGGTCCTTAAGGGGAGTTTAGGGTGTAAGGTCTAAGGGTAGCGAAGATGCTTGCAAATCGCTGGCCATCTACGTTGGCTGCACTTAACAGCCAGCCGTGCAACAATTTAGCACGCCAAACTTGGTAGGACACGGATATAAAAAATCGAGGTCCCAGATGGTCAGGCGGATGCAGAAGATGTCAACAATTGGGATACAACAGCCACAACGGCAAATATTGCACTTATCACTGGTGGAGCCGAGCAGAATCATCAGAAGGACCTGTTTTGATTTCCACATATTATTTGTGACATGAATGAATACACAGACACGGGCTTTCCGGCTTTATTTGTTGTGTTGTTGCATGGCCTCATGATCTGACTCCCATGCGCGGCTTGTTTGTTTGGGCTTTAGGGTCTTTAGGGTTTAGGGTGGAGAACAGGGGCATTGCGCAAGCGTAAGCAGATTTTGGTGCCGCCTGTATCGTCGTCATAAAGCCTGCAACTTCCAAAAATTGCTCCCATGCCCAAGCTTCAATTTTGTTTAATAGGCCGAGGCCCACAAATGGTGCCAAAACCAGATGCGCCAAACGTCAATTCCTGAATCCTGCACCGAATAAAGCCTTTCAATTCCGCATCCGTCACCATACATCAATATCCCCAGTCCTCGGTATCCAAACCTTCAACCTAATATTTTCAAAGCAAAGCAGGAGCCCTTCGATCCCCTGACAGATGTCTAGAATCTTGAGGGCTTAGCATCCTGAAGGCAACTGCGTGACCCTCAACCCCCTAAGCCCTAAACCCTTGACCCCCTGAACACTAAACCCCTCAACCCTAAATCCCTAAATCGCGCGCCTATGATCATCGCAATGGGAGCCTTAAACTTCTTCTGGTTTTCCTCGGCGGCGGTCTCGGCTTAAGGGTTTGAGTCTGCAGGTTTAGCAGGTTGCTGGTTGGGGGTTGGCTCGGCCACGGCCACGGCCTGTGCCTACAATAGCCCAATGTCGGGTACATCCCTTGTCCACACGGCCCAATTTCTGTCAAGCCCTTCCCTAAGGGTACCAGTACTTAATAATCATAAACTTACCTAAAACCTGCACTACATCTACTATCACCCAAATTCCAAGTACCTAATTATTGGGTACACGGACCCTTAAGGCGTTGTAAAATCGAACACTGGGACCCTGAAAGAAGTAGGTTCTCAGAGCTGGAAGGCGACCTCTCCTCCAAGCCTGCCAACCCACAAAGTTCCGAAACCTAAGGGTTAGGGTTTAGGGTTTAGGGTTTAGCTCCCCCGAAAACCACGTTCATTTTGCATCTTGCTGAGTCCATGCCTGCTGGAAGCTTGCAATTAACTTGGTTTTAGGGTTTAGGGTTGCTCGTACTTCGTCCGACGTGACCACACCCTTCTGCCAGCATGTGCGTAGGAAGTTAAGGTGTTCATATCTTGCTTGAAAGCCTTTGCCTAGCAACTATTAAGCTCGAAGTCCAGAACCTTCTGAACCCTAAGGACCGCTAAGGCCAGGACCCCAACCTCTAGAAGGCACTAGACTCTCCATCCCCACATCCCAAGCACTGCATCCTAAGCCCAAAGCTCTTAGCCTGTACCCCTAACCCTTACCACCTGACTGCATCATCAGCCCAAGCTCTCAACCAGCAACAGTTTACAATCTGTGTCTTTGGGGTTTAGGGACGCCTTACCTTTCTTTAGGGAACTGACCCCATTCCAAAAAGAGAAAGAAGCGAAAACGCAAGGCCATCCGAGGCGCAGGTGCGGACAAACACAACATCGTCAACTCCAACACCAAATACGGCCGAAACCCTAAATTTCAAACTCTACACTTTACCCTGGCTCCAGAGCCCTGCATAATGAAACTGCTGATACTGATATAAGTCTATGATCAATATTTGCTACCACTTAGAAGAATACCAGTTTTCATACGAAGCGCCGGAGCGTTGAAGTACCAAGCAAAGCTTTAGTATTGAATCCTGAACACTAAATCCCAAACCCCGAATGCTACCCCTAACCCCTGAACCGTGAAGCCCAAACTGCCCAAACCCTGAATCCCAAATCCTGAACCCCATACTCTGAATCCTAAACCCTGAATCCCAAACCCTCAACCCTGAATCCAGATACCCCATATTCTATATACTTAAGGATGACTAAGCCCTATGGGTCTGAGGCTCCGGAAGGTTGATAAACTCCATGGCCCCGAGGCTTTCAGCGCCAGTCCTGTCCATGAGAATAGCCAAAGGCCCGCTCAAAGGTTTAGGGTTTAGGGTTTGGGTTTTGGGTTTAGAGACCTAAATAGGTAATTACCTACATGGGCCTTTCCCCACATTAGGGGTACATTCTTGGCTTTAGGGAATTACCCTACCAATGGAGAATCAGCTGGGAAAAGAACAATGGGACATGAAATGGAAAGTGGGACTATTTATGTGAGGGTTTATAGGGATGATACAAGCAATCTGCATGACTCTTAGGACCTGATACTTTGGGAATCATAATATTTTGGTGTTCCAAGGTCCCAGGGGGAATGTTAGATGCCTAGAGCCGCGCGTGTGCAGGCACATGCTATAGCCCGAGCTCCCAGGAGCACTTCTGAAATGGCAAGCCATGCAGGTATACCGGCCACTGACCGCTTTTGTTGACAAAAACTTCCCAAAGCGCCAGAACTTTGAGTCTCACCTCAGGCTCTTAAGCCCAACACCCTGTAAACGCCTGAGATCCTAGACAACAAAGGCCTACGCTGAAAGAATCTAAGAAGGAATGGGCTCAAACGGAGGGGCTTCTATGCGGAGCCTGACGTGCATCTGCGCATTGATCACTCGCTGGACGACTGGATCTGCCTCCCAAGCAAACTCAGAAATAGGACAACGGTACCAAAAGCAGCCACAATTACAAACTGCTGCAGTAGAAGAATGGGCGGCGGAGCAAGTAATATGTGCAGCGGCAATCGCAGAAATAACAGTCTACCGGCCGAGGCAGAGCGGCAACGGCAGCACTTGCATGATGAACCGCAGTTGCAATTTCAGAAACACTCCTATCACAAGGCTAGCAAGCAAAGGGTTGGCTTGATTCGAAGGGTCTTGTTGAGCTGCAAGGGTGAACTGCTGTTTCTGTCCTGGGCTTGAACCGCAAGGATCTTGAGGCCTTAATGGATTCATGAGATAACCTGTCAACCCTCTCCGTTAGTACGTTAGGTTGAAAACCATATGAGCCATAGTCTAAACTCCCAGTATCCCTTTTACTGAGCCCTAGAATAGTCCCCTACATAATCCCTCTTTAAGGATTTTAGATCCTAAACCCTGAACCCTAAATCCTACATAACCCACCCCCTTCCCAGCCTTGCCAGCTGCCGCCCAACGAGGATCCCCAAAGGCTTCGTCAAAGGTGGACCTGCAAAAGCCACGAGGGTTTAAGGTCTTCGGAGTTTTTTCAGGTAACACGCTTTTTAGATGTAGGAGTCTGGGCTGCAAGGGTTTTCACGGATTTACGTAGGTGGTTTGGGGACCCTGGGGCTAGTAAGGGGTCATGGCAAGATACTTATTGATGATCGAAAGTGCCTACGCAAAGGTCTGTTACTGGATCACTATTTGCGTATCATGGGGTCCCTAAATGGAGACCATAGGCAGCTTGAGGGTTGTAGGCTTAAGCAAGCGGGATTTGATCCTCAGGATTTCAAATTCAAGCCACAGGCGTCACATTTGATTTGGCAACATGCCTGGGATTTAACGCTAGTTCTTTCTGTTCGGCAGGGTTGCATGCTTCAGATTCACGGTTTCCGCGCTGAAATGTTGGCATTTAGGTCTAGGGCCTGGGCGCCTACCGTGTCGCAGGCACGCTCCAGCAAGGCGGCAGCACAGGCCTCTCAGCCCGACCTACCAATGGAATCCAGGCCCTCCACAAGGATGCTTGAAGATCCAACGCCACTGAAGACCATACCAGTCGAGACAGTCATGTACGAGAGAAAGATTTCAGCTTCCCCTCTAGAGCCACCTATGGCAGTCCAGGCATCTCTGTTGCGGCTCTTTGCGATGGAACTCAGACCATTTGAGCCTTCGAGGTGTGAGTGTATCAGGGAAGTCGCCTTGTGAGCCAGAAGTTCAGTCATCGTACTGCATTCCTCAATCACCAGGAGGCTGGCAATTTTTTCGTTGCGTCGCACAGCTGCCTCTGGCAAGGCCTATGATTCATGCGCGCTGTTCCGAACTGGATCATAGTCGGGCTTTCTAAGGATTGACCCGTGAATGATCGGGATTGTGCTTAGGACCTATAGTCCCCCTTAAGTAGATAGAATATGGCGTATATGGGGATCTCCTTATACTACACCCAAAGCCATATTCTATCTACATCGGGCGGACTATAGGACCTAGGATTTGGCTGGGGGCTTTGGGTCTGGCACGCCGGCTGAGCGAGCCATGTTCACTCCAAGGTGAAGTTCAGTGGGCTTAGAGTTTGCGGGAGAGAGGTGTGGGTGAGGTGTCAGGTGTAGGCTTGTCAGGAATTTGTTCTTAGGATTCAGGTGGGGGTTCGGGGGTCGGCTCTTCCGAGCTTCTTGGATGGGAGCTCCAAGTTCAGAATGTGGGCCGATGACCCGTCTGCGAACTTGCTGCTTGTCACCACAGGTCTCGCATTTAAGATCTATAGGGTTTAAGGGATCACTTGAACTTTATGGGCCACCCATCAGAGACGTAGTCGCCACTACCCTCATGTAGGCTCCAGCCGACACACAAGCGCGGCGGCATCCCCTATAACCCTGAAGCATGCAGACCCTGATTTTCAGGCTTGGGTTCAGTTCGGGTAGTAAGCAAGTTCCAGTATTGATGAGGGAAGCCTTGGGAAACGGAGCCCGAGAGAATAAGCGCTTTAGGTTTAGGGGTTTTGGTGTTGGGATAGGATTAAGGGTTTAAGGGTTCAGGATGTTGAGGATCCAGAATTGACCCCGGAAACTGCAATATTATCGGCAACATAAGCCTGCAACTGAAGTAGCCGGCACTATCCCAGACGAGACCCACATAAAGCCCTTAAGGCCGCATAAAACCCAATCCAAATGCAGAAGAAAACAAAGCAGAGAAGCCATGACTATGACATAGAAGCCCGTAACCCTGAGAAACCAACGACCTACTGTACACTCCCTCGCCCAAAACTCCACAACAACGCGCACGGGGACCCACAACAGCATCTACACGGGGTGCTTCACATTCTTGGCCTGAGACGCCAATCACAACTCAGGCCCAAAGACCCAAACAGTATATACCTAGGGCTGAAAGGCTTAGCACAAGGGCATTTCGAAGCCGAGGTATTTACAATGTATATACGTGGGTCCCTTGCGATGTAAACTTGACTTCATCGACCCTGGGCGGCCCACGTCACGTCCACGCCAGGCAGTGGAAGCTTCGGGAAGAAGCGCGCTCTTGGCACACAGCTATGACTGCGCAGAATCTGCAAGGCTTCGTACCATGTGTTGAACTTCTATGCAGCTCGATGAGGGGCTTGTGCGAGGGTCCTGCCGGGGCTATAATGGTCCTAGAGCGCTCCTGGCTTGTGCCAAAGGCTTTGAGTGGAAGTCTTGTACTCCCTGCTCAACGGTATACCCTAGAACTGGATACACTACATCGGGAACCCTGGTGGTGCAGAATGTCCGGCATCCCCATACACTTTGATGGGCTGCCGCGTGAAGGTGTGTGGATGAGTTGGATGGATGGCAGACATCTTGCACCAATTCTCAGTCCTTTTACCCTGGCAATCGCTGCATTTTCAAACTCCTACTAAGAAGTGCAAGAGCTCCTCCGTCCACAACAGCTCAAACTCTTGACCATCTAGGCCGGCTACTGCTGATACCTTATTAAATACCTGGTTCTCAGTAGGGAATGTACGCCCAACACAAAACAGCACTTAATCGCCCTAAACAAAAAGCTCCACCTTACACTGCCTGAATCAGTGTTCGCAACCTGGGTGGGAAAACCATCATGGAGGGAACCCGAGCACAGCGTATTGGAGACTGGAATCTGACCTACTGTGGAGACAAACACAAAACCTTGGGGTCTTCTTTGCAAGGATTTGGGAGATTCCCAAAAATGCGGGGTGCCTTTCCGAGGGTCCCCATAATAAGGATTATAATATAATAGTTTTGGAGTCTATATTGGTGTCCTCTTAATTTGGAAAAACTACCATTTTGTTTCAAGGGCGCTATGTAGGTGAACCCCTGTTGCGGAACATGGCATCATCTGAGGCTCCAGCAGAAACTTTGCTATCCCAATCTGCAGTGCTGAAGGCCGAGAAATTGATGTTGGTTAGGAATCCCAACTCTATGTCAAGAATGAACAACAGTTCCCAAGCGCTTCGCCCGATTAGAGAGACTTTTACATAAGATATGAGCTATAGTCTCAACTCCTAGTATCCGCCTTAATAACCCCTAGTCCCCTATAGAATCCGCTTTAAGGAGCTTAGACTATGGCTCATATGTTTGGGCATTTCATGCCGGGCTCGTCTGAAGGTGGGATGACAATCGTAACACGACTTCGTGTGTTATGTCTAGCGAGTCAGGCCATCCGGACCAACAGCCTTTCCCTAGAGTTTAGGGTCTCGGGTTTTAAGGTTTTGGGGTTTGGGGTTCCGGGTTTTCGGGTTTAGGGTTTTAAGGTTTAGGGTCTATAGGGGGTTACCGGGGAATACAGTACACTATGTAGCATTGAGGGTGGGCAGGGCTGATTTTGGAATCCCATGAACTATGAGGATGAGGTCCCAAGGCTGGGGGTTGAGTCTTACCCTCCGTTTACATGGTGGTTTCCTAAAATTGGGGATACCTTTTTGGGGGTTCCCATAATAAGGACTATAATATTTGGGAGTCTATATTGGGGTTCCCCCATTTTGGGAAAGTACCATATCTGAGCCTACAAATATGGACTGTGTCGCGTGTAGGGAATGCCTACGGCCGGCGCGGGAGATTCAACTCGCGGGATTTCTTGATCTTTAATTGATGCTTTCTGCGATTCATTGATCTCGTTTTCTCAGTACAGTATCTCCCTAAGCCTCATGCTTTACAAACTTCCGAATTTTCGGTGCCTTTCTCACTATCACGACTTGAGAACGTACGAAGACACCCATGCAGAATCCTGCAAGTTGGATCCTTGGTCTCTATAGGGGCACACCAATGGCCTCCAGGTACAAAGGAAACTTTTGAACAGCTGCCATAGAGTTCAGGGTAAAGAGTCCAGGCTCAAAGCTACGCAGTACTCACTCCTCACATTTTCCCGCATGAAAACGGGCAAGATGGGATCAAGGGCAGGTGTAGAGGCGCCGGCTCACCCCAAGTTCATCCAAATCATGTGTGGTAGGGCTGGCAGGAACTTGTACGGATCGCAAGAGAAGCTTCATGTTGATTCTAACATAACAATTTTCAAAATATGGGCGGCTTAAGGGTTCTAAAGATTCGGCTACGTTTGCAAAATTCCTGAATCTCAAAAACCAAGCATTTTCCTGCACCACAGCGTTCACCCTCACACTCCTCACGAAAAACCCCTATCCACCTCCTAAGACCTAGAACTCAGGATTTTCGCGGCCTTGACTATCCAAAACCACGCACCACTTCCCCTACCTCCCCACCCTTAAAACCCTTTGCCTTCAACATCCAATCCCCCTGAATCCTCAACCTTGCAACTGCTCGGGGCCCCAGCCACACAGGGTGGAGGCATCCTCGGCTATGGTTGAGGCTTTGGGGTTTCTGGTTCCAGCTTTGGGTTTAGGGGTTAGGCTTGTAAATAAGCTTTAGGCCAAGGGTCCAGTGTTAAGGGTGGGATTTAAACCATATGCTTGTATTCCTTATTGTTGTACTTCTGGCATTGGAACTTATGACTGTATGTTCCTTCTGAAGGATTACATACGAATGATCTTGGGAAAGTCTATGTTGGAAATCCCCTCCTCGAAATAGTCAACCCTCCACCCCGCTTATAATATATATTCTATCAGACTGTAATATGCTGTAAGGGGGATATGTGTTGACCAGGTAGGTGGGGGGGATTATTTGGGGGAGAGGATGGCGTGTCTTCGACTCTGCTGTCAGGAGCCAAAGGTTTGGGACTCTGAGATTACTGGGATGCCATCTTATGGACAAACAAGTTTCCGGAATAGCGGTAAGCTCCTCAACAGCACCCCGGATTCTGTATGATGCTTGAATACCATGTAACACCATGTAACACTCGGGGCTTTGCAGGGAGTACTAGTAAACCTTCGCAGGATCACCCACAGTCAGAAGAACATACTCCGATTTAGGACAAAAATAACACCAATTTCGGAGAAAAAAGGGCGTTGACACCCGACGTCCTTCGTCATACCTGCTGCGTGCTTGGAGAAGATAGACTGCCTACGGGACATACACACCTGTTTCAGACGAAGGTCTTCTCAAGCAACGAGGCCCTGCTATCCCTACGAACTTATAGCTTGCCTCAACCCCTAAACCAGGTACATCTGCAGTTGACGTAGGGGTGCCCGTGGCGGAGTCACGGAGCACAAGTGGAAGTCCAGATGTTTCATCCCTACACCTGGAGGGCCGCCTACCCTTGGAAGGCCGAGCGTGCTTAGCAAGCACATACATATGCCATGAGGAACCTAAGAATAACAACAACCATCAAGCATTCTAGTTACCCCGTTATCCCCATTAACCTGCTCACTACGTACCCCTAAAGCCTGCAAGTATGCTTTCGAACTGGATTGGAAGTCAGGAGCTCCGGTGGCCACCACCCGAGATTGTAATTTGTCACTCCTTATTCTCCCTATAATCAGGCCCGCAATGTAGCCCTGTTACCCTGGGGCTCTGAGTCCATACAAGACCTCAGGCGATGTGGAGCCGCGGGTTGTAACGAAGTGACAGCAGGTACACAAATGGCTTGGACTCAGGGCTAAGCGCTGTCCTCTCAGGATTCGCGCCCGCGGAAGCAGAAAGTTGAGAGGTGGCAATGATTTCTTGCATATGCCAAGATGAAAGGATAAGGATCCACGCCCCAACTTGAAGCCTGAGATCTCAGCCTATAACACATATGAAGTCCGTCTCCAGCCCTGCCCCGAACCAACATGCAACCGGCTACAGGCCCCTGTTGAAAGCAGAGAAATCCAATGGAGTTATTGTTCGCGCTGCGTACTTGTTTGGAGGCATAACCCCAACATCCCTATATAGTCTTGCTACAATTTCCCCAAATCCTTACATGGGACCCTTTCAAGGTTATCACGCGCATCTGAGAAAGAGCAAATCACAAAACCCTACTATAATGCAGTAGTTTCCATTTTCCTTCCATTATCCACATATAATCCCTATATTAATCCCAATATACTATAGTAGATTCCATTAACCCTCAACACTGCTGGCCAAGGCTCATCTCCTTCTTGATCCTCCTTGGACAGAAGTGCTTAGGGCTTCGGTTTTAGGACTTGGGCTTGATGCTTTCGTGGTGAGGAGTAAGTATGGCTTAAGGGTTCGTGTGCTCTTCGTGGGACCATCTCAGAAACGATCCTGTTTAGTAGGAGCAATTTTGTATAACCAAGCCCTGAGGTATCTACAAGGATCAAGCGCAAAAGTTATACCTATCTGAACCAGCTTGGTAGCGTGCGTCTACACCTGCAGTAGCTCCAGCACAGGGAACTTCCAAACAAGGATATGCCTTCTATAATACTTACCAAAAGGAGCTCCCCCAAACGGGTCCCCAGTCTTTAAGAAACGTCACATGAAACCGCCGTCATCCTTCTTGGCCTGGCCTGACTTTTTCACAAGATGCGAGAATAGCTTGACATTTTTGCCTGCTTTCCAGGTGCAGCATATAACACGATATTAAACCCTATATAACCCCTATATAACCCATTATAGTAGTTTCCATTTTCTTTTCCATTATCCCTAGTTGCCACCCTAAACCCTAAACTTCTACCGTACACACCCAATAAACCTCTACTGACCCCGGCTTCCTCTCTGGGATTCTACATGTTTTGTCCTAGTTGAACCTTTTTTTATCGGGGTAACATCCCTAAACCCAACCATACAACCCCTACATACCCCCTAAGTAGTTTTTGTTGATGCAACCACAACCCCAGCCTAAAAGCCTAGCCTTTCCATGTCATGTCTCTTTGATTTCTTTTTGATTCTCCAAACCACCTAAACAAAGCCGGATGTAGGGGTCCATATGAGTACCATGATCCTAGACTCCTTGTGTAGCCAGGGTATAGGATACCTCAAATAAACCTCAAACAACAGTAGTGGTTATTGAAGCGCCTACAGTCGTCCCATAGTCTGGCATTCGAGTATCACTATCGGACCGCAGAGGATGTACCCGGCGATCGGGGATGGGTCAAGCCCTTCCACCGCCCTTCCACAGGATTCTTCTCAGGGCTTAATCGGATTTAGGGCTGTAGTTTAGGAGGGCTGGCGTTCAGGGATTTCAGGATCTATGCCGCTTCAGAGAGCTTGTGCGGATTGGGCTTCATGTTTCATGGTTTCAAGGAGGAGCTTAAGAATGGCTTGGGCATTGCTTCAAGGTAACGTAGTGTAGAAACTGACTAAACCCTAAACCCTAAACACTCCCCTCGGGACCGTTGTACTTGGCAGATGGCCATGGCGCAGGACAAAAAAATCAGCACCCAGTGGGGTAATATTAGGGTTATATGGCAATAATGAAGAAGACAATCGAAACGACTATAATAGGTTATATAGGGTTGAGAGTTTCGGCTTTTTTGCTGCACCCTTGGTTTAGGGGTTAAGGGTTGAAGGTCTAGGGTCTGCACACCAAACCCTAAACCACTTTCGTTGTCTACCTGCCTGAAGGTCACTGCAATGGGCTTAGCGTTCAGGATTTAGGGCTCCAGGTTGAACCCAAAACTGAATAGTGGTTAGCAGGGCACAGAGCAATGAATCCCAATAGCAGTTCATATAGAACCTTCATTTGTAGCCGCTGCATACATACAGGCATGCATGCACTTCATATATATGTACATGTATATACACACACTGTATTCCCATATGTCTTCTCTCCCAATGAACCACCAGAAAGAAAACCCGAAACTCAAAACTTTCACTCCGGCCCGGTCACTCGGAGCGCCTTGCTGATAACGATCCAAACACAAACGCTATGAAGACCAATGCAGCTTGCTTTTAATGATCAGGGTTTAGGTTCTGGGGTTTAGGGGCTTTGGCAACCGTACCCCAATACCTAAATCCTGACCCCCATGACCGAGTCTACCCACTAAATCCAGTTGTATCTGGCAGACATGGAATGTTGCCCTGGCATGCTTCCAAGGCCATGAACTGAACTATATACCATCATGTGGGGTCAGGGTTGATAGTCGTCCTAACACAAACAGAATCTTAAGAGTGGGAAGCCTTAATATGCTCCTTGGATCAACTTTCGATGAGCTAAAGGAAGACTCAAACCCTACAACGCTCAACGGCGTCTTCCATTAACAATACGAATACGGCAAAACACTAAAGCCTACCTAGATCCTGGATGTTCTACCTTTTGACGGCTATATCCTGTACAAGCGTGGGACTCCTTGAAGCCCTAGGCCCTAACCCTGAAACCTGAGAACTTCGCGCCTCCCAATGCCATGCCGTAATGCTACGAGCGCTCCAGCAGACTCCCCCAGCGCGAAGATTTTCGCGCTGCCAGGGCGTGGGATGATTTGCTTGGGCGGTTGGGTTTAGGGTTTAGGGTTTAGGGTTCAAGGTTTATAGCGTTTAGGGGGTTCAGGGCTTGAGGTTTACAGACTATAGGATTTAGGGGTTTAGGCTGCAAGTTGCCGGGCCTAGGGCATTATGGGATCCGAACCGTTGACAAGGGTCATGGAGCTTCATGAGTCTATATCATACTTCTTGCAGCAGGATTAAATTGTTCATCAAGTTTGGAATTCTTGGAGTGCTCGACAGCCCTTGGAGTGCATTGCCCATGATACCCAAGGGCTTAGAGAGCTTATCAGGTGCATGCAAGGGGGTTTAGGGTTTAGGGTTGCTGGAGTTTTGGGATTTCAGAGGGCTTGTCCAAAACAAGGACTCAGATGGGAGTGCCTTCGAACAACGCCTACGTACACAACAACTCTTAATGGCCACCTGCTGCAATGCTTTGCGACAGCTCTCTCCATATGTATATACGCACACACGAATTTCACATGTAGACATAGCCCACAATGCATAAACATCCGAAGCTCTGACGTACCATCATCATACGATGACATATTCCGGCCTTGGATACCGCTTCTGCTCCTGCACGGCCAGCACATGTGCATGTCAGAGCTTCGTAAGCCCTCAGCCGTAACCCCTAAGCTGTAGAAGCCCTACAGTAGCCATGAAATGTTATGTTCTGACAATCCGTCTCGAAGTATACAGTCCTGTGCACCCTATTCAGATTATTTGGTAGCTTCCCTAAATAGGGAGACCCCGATATAGACCCCAAAATCCTATAATCCTCATTATGGGGACTCCCAAAAAGGTACTCCTAATTTGGAAAACCCTATGGGGATAATGGAATGGAAAATGGAGACCACTATATGAGTCATAATCTAAACTCCTAGTATCCCCGAATTTTGGGAAACCTCCATTTACTGGGTTGCTGTTAAGGAGCTTAAATTAAGTTACTATATTGGGGAAACCCTATTATTGACTATATATACCCATTATGGTAACCCTAAACCCTAAACCCTAAACCCATTATGGTAACTGAATTAAAGTTCCTTAACAGCAACCCAGTTTAGGGCCGGGGTCTGGGATTCAGGGCTTTGCGCTTCAGCTTCAGGCCTCCGGCTTCTGAAGAGTCCCAGAATTTCAGGTTTGTTTAGGGTGTAGGGTTTAAGGGTTAAGGGTTTAGGGTTCAGGCCTTACGGGTTTAGGGTTTAAGGGTTTAGGGTTCAAGGGTTTTGGGGTGAAGGTGGTGGGTTGTTCATAGGTCACGCAACAATAAGGGGTACAATGGATAAGACTGCAACCACGCAACCACTGCTATACGTGCTTCCAGCAGGACTACGACTAGTCCCTTTTTTTCAATGATGCCTGCTGGCCATCTGCTGAAATCCTGTGAGGTGACTTTGAAACGGGCCCTCATTATGCAAAGCATGCAAGCTGCTGTAGCATACAGAAAAAGTCGAAATCTCATCAGGACATTGCAGAGCTCCATAACTTGCATCGGCAGCCTAAACATCTTAAATGCCAACTCTGACGGCTATAGACGAACCAACACCTACTGCAACGGATAATGTGGTCACCGGCCAGATTACGTAAATTTGCTTCTACCTATACCGAACTAACTCGACCCAGACAATCAAAAATCCATACATGGAACGCTCGGACAGTTCACATGGCCTGCCGTGCCTTTTCAATTCGTATGAGCTATAGTCTAAACTCCGAGTATCCCCCATAATAACCACTATAGTAGTCCCCTAGATAACCCCCTTTAAGGAGTTTAGACTATGTGGCTTGTATAGGGGTTCAGAGTTCGGGGTCTCGAGCCGAAAATTCAGGGCTCGGTCCCGAAGTGGCATTTTGTGGAGACCCGGGGGCCGATGTTGGGGACCACGACAGTGCCATTAGACTACCTGGGACCCAAAAGTATGTAAAACAATGGCCCTGAGGGCTATCACTATAAATTTAGGGCTATTATTTTACATACTTTTGTGGTTTAGGTACTCAAGCGGAAAAGAATGCACTGGGTTGCTGCGGACTTGTCAATTCAGGGTCGGGCATTTCTCCATGCATCGAGAGGTTTGTCAAGTCCACGGCTTCTCTGGATACTGCAAACGTCTACGGGCCAATGTCTAGGGACAGTTCAGAAAATGTCCTTCTACACTCCCCTCCCCAAAGATCTGCCCCCTCCCCTCTCCCCCTACTCTATCTGTATCATGGAGAGGCAGCAGCGAGCGTCATTTTGTTTTATCCATAAATTTCCATTTCCTGGCCTGCCTATGGTGATCTCCGGCATGATGCTCCAAAACCCTCTTTCCTAGAACCTCCACCCACCCTTAATTTACCCTAAATACCCACGATTAAGGACCATATACCTCTAAATTCTAAATCAGGGCACAAGATGGGTGGTTCTCTGTTAAACCTTCAAGTCCCATGTTATCCCTGCAATCTGTCTCTGTGTACAATCCTTATGCAATCCTTCCCCCTTACCCTAAACCCTAAACCCTAAACACTGAACCCTAAACCCTGAACCCTCAGCCCAAGATCTCAAAGCCCAAGCCCTTCTGCGGCGTGTCTCCTCTTCGGCCAGCTTTTGCAAATCGGTGATGACGTCACCAAAGCTCTCAACGTAGCCGGGGGCGTCGCCTTCCTTCATTAGGCAAACCGTCGAGTCCGTTGAGGGCTACAGGGCTTGGCCCTCGGCTCAGGGTGTAGGGTGTAGAGCTTTCTCCAAAGTAACACGTAATGCTCCCCACATTTTTGGGGAATCATGGGTGATGATGCGAGCTATTAGGGGGAGGCAAGTGTGGCTGATGTTTAAGTGGAATCCCAGTGCCTACTTCGATATCGTGCTTCTGCAATATTTCGCCACTGCATGCGGCAACAGACAGCAGCTACATCTGGATATTTGCAAAATGCGAGCCTGCCAGAGCCAGGCAACCATGACCCCTGAAGCCCCTCAGATATGAATTCGGACAACTTTCCACGCACTGTAAGAGCCAAGATTCGGAGTAGCCAGAGCCCACCTGTCATCTTTCACGTGCGCAGGCGTCAGGTCAGGGTTTACGGACCTATAGAAAGGGGGGGGGCACCTAAGTATACGGTTTAGAGGCTTTGGCTATGCATTGATTAGGGTAGGGGATTACCGTCCAGAGGCCTCTGGCCATGTTTGCATTCGGAGGCTCGGAAACATGTTCGTAACTGCTGAGGCTGTGATTCAGGGATGGCCTGTGTTTGGGACGAGAGTTGGACCTGAGCACTTGAAACGTACTTTTTTGAAACCTGAGCCCTTTCTCCTTAAAGCTTGTTTGCAGTGCATGCAACTTGGATGACCCCTGCGGGCATTTACCGAAATCAAAGTCCACTGCCATGCTCGCAAAAATACAAGTTCTAATCTTCGCGTGCGCGAGCGTGACTGGGCAGCAAGAACGACCCTCGCCTAAGCTAACATGAAGCCTACTGACAGCCTTCTGTGGCACCCCTCTTTTGGCTCTTCATGCTCAGGTTCCTCCTACTGCTACTCGTGCTCCTACCTACTGCTCCAACGAGTCAGCCAATGAGTGTTCGGGCCCCTTGGTCCAGCAAAAGCCAACATGGCTAAGCCAAAATATTGTAAAACAGGAGTTCGTAATGTTGACGCTCACTCAAAAATCCCGCAACAGCATTCGGTTGTGGATGATCTCGCTCACATACATGTTGCTTGAAACTCTGGGCTCAAAAGATGTTGCATTATTTGTACATCCCCTTTGTATGCCACATATCACCTCCTTAAATTCAGGGAGCCTCTGGGGGGGATAGTATAGGGTAAATTCAGCGAGCCTTTGGGGGCGGGTAGTATCGGGGGGTCGACCCTTCGACCCTAAACCCTAAATAGTAAGTATAAGTAGTGGTAGTAGTAGTAGTAGTCATCTTCTTTTCCATCCCACCATATGGGAGGTTGTCAAAAATATGGCTGTTTTTTTGGGTATCCTAAAATTTGAAAATTAGAGGCCATAATTAGAAGCCACCCATACACTCTCTCATCAGTATGAACCCAACAAATTCAACACCAGCCCTAAATTTGGAGTTCCTATTTTCTTCTCCATACCCCTATATATCCCCACATCCTCCCCATATGCTCTCTAACAAGTATGGACCTAAACCGTACTTAAACCGCAGCCCTAATTGTGTAGTTTCCATTTACTTCCCATATCCTCCCCACATGCTCCCCATATACCAGGGGAATCCACACCCTGGAAATTCTTGGGTCCTTTATAACATCCCTATATANNCCAGGGTTTTGGTTCCCTTGGTACTCTCTACTCAGTATATGCCCCACTGGAAAAATCCCCTAAACCCTAAACTCTAAACCCTAAAGTCCCCTAAACCCTAAACCCTAAAGTCGCGTAAACCCTAAAGTCCCCTAGACCCTAAACCCTAAACCCTAAAGGCCCCTAAACCCTAAACCCTAATCAATATATGCCCCACTGGAGCGTCTGGCCTGGTCGTAAGCGATCGCGGCAAAGCCTTCGGTCCGCAAAGCCTGTTGCAGAGGGCTCAAAACAAGTGATAGTTGTTTAATATAGGTTATATAGGTGCTATACTGTTGATGGATGAAATCTTGCACCACCTAGGGGCCCTAAACTACTGCAATTCCTAGGACTTTAGGGACTTAAGGTGGTGCAGGATTTCCTCCATCAACAGTATTGGGATAATGGAAAAATAGATGGAAACCACTACATTATATGGGGATGATCTAGGGGACATATAGGTGATATATAGTTGTTTAATATAGGTTATATAGGTTATATTGGGATAATGGAAAATTAGATGGAAACCACTACCTTATATAGGGGTTATATAGGGAATATATAGTTGTTTCATATAGGGATAACGCGCCAATAACGGAGAATGAAATGGAAAAGACATGGCAACTGGGATGATTATGGGTAATATAAAGGTTATATAGGAGTTTTATGGGGATAATGGAAATAGAATGGAGACTACTATAGTATCATAGGGTATATATTAGGGATATAGGAGGGGTTCAAAAAGGGATAATTGTTTAGGGTTTAAACAGGGAGAGCATGTGTGCGCGTACATCTGTGTGTGTATGTACATATACATTGTAAAGGGGCGTCGGATGAAGGTCTGCAAGGTGTTTTGCCTGAAATGGAAACATGCGTGGGGCTTGGGGTTTCGATTGTAAGGGTGAGCAAAAGGGGCTGCCCAAAACCCGAAACCCTAAAAAAGCTGCTTTTGGACGGTGTGAGGTCTCTGGGTTGTTCAATCTTTGAGGTGAACAGAATTGGGAAGGTCTAGTGGTCCGGCTGGGCGACTTGGTAAACAGGTTAATGATGGGGGTAGTTGAGGATACCAATCGTCCTTACTTCGTTACTAGCACGCTTGCTAAAGGGCCCGGCCCAGACCCTGTAATTAGGTTTTAGAGCTTCTGGTTCCGTGCGGGTTGTGGGGAATTGAGGCGCGAGACCTCACGCCCTAAACAGGGGGTCTAGGTTGATTGCATGCAACCCACATAACACCATCATTGCAAGGAACCCGGGCAGGGGAGTAAACTCTCAAAAAGCACCCGAAGATACCCGAAGGGCCCACTTGTAACACTTGCACTTGTAACACTTGCTGCACAGGTTGCACAAATAGGCATCTCCTTCCATTGCAGAATACTATAGCTCTTAGCCGGACAAGACCCATCAACGTGTTTGGAGCTTGCTTGTTTGAATAAGGTATGCAGGAACCCTGCTCTGTCAACACTCTGTTTACAGTCTCCAGGCAAGATGTCATATGAGCTATCTCCTATCATCCCCCGTTAATAACCTCCATAGGAGTCCCCTATAGAACTACCTTTGATGGAGTTTAGACTACAGTTCATATCTTCGAAGCATCGGTTTACAACTACTCTTAACCGCATGTTCCGCCTGCAGTGCTTCGGGGGCAAACCCCTGCAAGCCTGAATTGGAGGGGGGGAAACTTGTTTGACCTTGATGCTGCAGGCATTTGGGCATTTTATGATGGTTCTGGGGATCTTGAGAACTGTCAAGGCCGAAATCTAAACAGAGCTTGCGGCTTTTGGTGAATGTCACATTGGCCTGACCTGTAGATCTGGGTTGGCCCCCTAAAACCCTTTGAAAAATGTTAGTATATAGGGTCCCTTATTAAAGCCATTAGGGAAAATCTCAAATATCCCAAGGGCCTACCCAGCAGATAGAATCCAGAGGGCATTTGCAAGCGGCTCTCCGGTCAGTGAGATATTAACCCCCGCCCTGTGCGGGATGCCGGCTATGCGAGACAGTCCCTAAGGGTCCAAGGACCCAACTAATAGGGTCCCTTTAAAGGGGGTTATAGGGGGGATATATAGGGATATATGGGGACTATATGGGGACTATATAAGGGTCCAAGGACCCAAATAATAGGGCTCTAGGGCCCTAATACCATTAATATTATAGTATTTGGGTCCTACAACCCTATTATTTGGGTCCTTGGACGCTTAGGGAATGCTTTCCAAGGCCAAAGGTAGAGTTCCCAGAATTCACGACCAAAAGGTTCGGCTGCATGATTCTTGTGGAACCATGCCTGAAACTTTAATCCTCAAACCAGTTCCCTAAGCCCTTCTACGCTGGCCCTGAACTGAAAACATTCAACCCTTAAGCTTGAAGGCTTTACTCAGCTACCTGGCCCAGGATGTCGAAGTAGCCACTGTGCCTTTGGTAACAAAGGCAATCTTAGCGAAAAAGATGCTATGGTATAATATAATATATTATACTATATATGGGGCTTAGCGGTTCTGGTTTTCAAGCTTTTCTTTCAAGGCTGCTTTGGCCTTACAACAAATTGCGGTGCACGATGAGCATGCTTCTTGATACGTAGAAGGAACGCCCACGTATCCATTGATTCCTGTAAGTTCCTGCGTACTGACTACAGAATGCGAAGGCTACCAAGCAGTGGACAGCAGAAACACACTTAGATCTGGGCTGTGATGATTAAAGTCTGGTCAGATGCAGTTTTCTATATGTAGACGCCTGAAATGAGACCAATGAACCACTGAAGCCTGGAATGCTCCAATCCTAAACCCTAAACCCTCTTAGAGTGTCATCTCGAGCAGGCATGATGAAACCTAAACCAAGTCCTCAAACTTTCAAAGCTAACCCTTGGCCCCAAGCCCAATAGCAGATCTACTACACGATAAGACAGTAGTTGTCTGTGTTCAACAACCAAAAGATCCTGACTCTGAGGTCTACGCGCCGACCAAAAGCCATGAGCCATAAATCATGACCTGAAGGCCAAGACCCTCCATCCTATAAGGTAGTTCTAGCAAGCGGGACCCCCACACAGACCCCCAAATCCCATAGTCCTGAGAGCAGGGACCCCAATAAGAGACCCCAGTTTTTGACAAACCCCCGTAATTTCTCGCCTGCAAACTGGCAGAGTAAGCTGCAGGCCAGCCCGCACCGCCGTGCACGAGAATCACCACTCCGCGGGGGGCAGAGGCAGGCACCTGATTGTGTCTCCAAACAGGGCAGATTAGATTCTATAGGATATACACATATATATATATATGTATATGCATGTGTATGTGTATATGGGGTTATATAGGGGTTATATGATAATAATGGCAAAGAAAATGGCAAGTACTGTCGGGTTTGCGGATAAGGCTTTGGGGTCGGGGGCTTGGTGTGTTTCAGGTTTAGGGTTATATGGTCAAGGTTAAGGGGTTTGGGGGGGTTCTCAGTTTTAGGGTGTAGGTTCACTGCAGTATTCCGCAGAAGCCGCAGTGGCTTTGCAGCTGGGGCTATTTCAGCGCATTGTGCCTCGTGCTGTGCAGTCTTGCACGACGGCAGTCCAAATGTTCTTTCAGGAAGTGAGGGTCCCTGTAGGGGGCGGGGTCTTTTAACAAGGGACATAAGTGTTTAAGGGGAAACTGTTTTTGAAAGCCACATACCCTACGAGGCAGTTACAAAGCCTCTCCATGTCCTGGGCATGCGCCCCTACTATTCCCCCCACCAAGGTTCACCATTTACTAGGGTCATCTATGGACGGGAACCTAGGGTAGTTGCTGGGAGTTGTAGGAGAACAAGTGACATGTTTCATTCATGCTCGGGCAGGCAGGATGAGTTTTCAAGGCTTCAGAGGTTAAAGTAATCTAGCTATATTTGTTTTTCACTACAAGGGATTCAAGTCATCTATCAGACTTCTAGCATGCCAGGGGGAAATACATGAGTTCTATTTGAAGCACTATTCGCAAGAAGGATTTCCCCCCTTGGAGACCGAAACTCTACGACTCGTCATCCTAAACCTTCCTACTTGTCAAAACCTAGATCTCAGATTACCTGAATAACGCCGAGCCCTGCTTCCCAGCCTCTGAACAGGAAACAATTCACAAAATGGGCTGCCACACCCTCAGCATCAGTACATGCTGCGAAGCCTAGACCCGTACTCACAGCCCAAGTGCTCCGTCATGGATCTCCCCACAATCCTGTCCTATGATGAAACAGAGTCTTAAGGATTCGGGTTAGAGTCTTAAACCGTACGTGCTCCAAGAGGGCGACGCGAACCAGAAATTACTGTCCATTGTCAGCAGTTCCCAATACCTCAGCCCTTCCTGTCCTGAGACAGCGAAATGGCCGATATTGGGGACCATCACAAACAAGACCCTTGACCCAGAACTTGGGATAGCTAAGGACTAGGAAGGAGACTGTGAGGGGTCCCTCCTAAGCATGTTTGTAAGGATTTTCTCGCAAGTACATGGGGCTTTCCGGACCCTGATTCATGGAAACCTCCAAATAGACACCAGTGACTCCAATGCAAGCTCAGAAGAAGGCGCCCAGCGGCGCACTGCTATGCGAAAGCCTGCGGTGCAGGCTTACTTGGTGGGACTCTGAGCTTTTTACTGGGTTCGGATCTACATACAAAAGAAGGCTAGACTGGGCTTCGTCAGGGGCTGCAGTTCATTGCTTAAGTCCAGGGGCCCGCAAAGTAGAACTAAGGGTACCAAGCATTCGGGTTCAGTGATTATGGGAGCTTCATGCGGGGTTGAGGGCTACCGCAACGTAGCCCTGCACACGCATATACCAAGCACGAGCATCAACATACTGTAGGCGCCCAAAAAATTACTCATACCATTTTGAGGTCCACCTGAGGTAGCTGGTACCATAATCTTGCTAGGAACCCGGGACCAAAGCATTGGTAATCCTACAGACTCGGGGTTAGGCATGGATGCTTTGGTTATCTCACTCGCTACTCTGTGGCCATGGCCAACTACATTATGCGGCTGCTAGCGCGTGAGCTGCGCACCACGTTTGAGATGAAAAGGCCAGGAAGTACCGGCCAGAATGGCACTTTTCATGCATGCATTTGTGCAGCGCAGCGGCTGGTCCGAAGGCTAAACTCTAAACCCTAATGCATTACCTTTGTATTGGCCAACTGTCGCTTTGAGCATGCTGGGGCTGACAGAGTTGTTTAGGGTTGAGGGGCTCTCCGTTCCAGCAAGGCTTTTGGTAGGATTTATTAAGGTTTAGGCATCAGGGC